CTAGCTTTCGCTACATGCACCGCTCAAAGAGAAAAAAGAAAAAAAGAAAAGAAAGGCGTGCTGCGCGAGCCGGATAACTCGACTACAGCGCCGCCACGAACTGTCAATAAACGCGCCCTCACGAGCTCCCGTTGCCGAGCCGCTCCGGTCCAAACACTACCCAAGTATTCTAGTGCACTGTAATAGCGACACACTTTAGATAAGAGGCCGCCCGCGACCTTGTCGAGTCAGTTTCGTCCCAGCGTTCGACTCTGCTCTTTCGCCGACTTCGACGCCCGCGACGCTCTGCTGTTATCTTTTGGTTCCTTTTTATGTTTGGGCACAAGTTCGCCCTATTAAAAGTTTAGTTCCTTCAGTTATTCGCCGCCTCATCACTTGTGCTTTGTGACAATATTTCTTCAAAGCTCACGTTTGCTCAGAAAAGTCCCAATTTATTTAATTCTTTTTTTTTTGCGATATAAATATTTGATGCTCGGTTATCTTGCTTTATTTGTGGGGATATCCGACGTGAGGAGGACGGACATGGTTCCGTGGGGGCCAAGGAAGAACGCGAAGTTGGCATCGACTGAGCTTGGGCGGCGAGTTCGAAGATGGTCGGCGACGGAAGGCTGAATCATGGGGCGCTGACTCCAGAGCGTCCATTTTAAGGCAGTGAATCCTTTGTACCATCCGTTGTGAGATCTCCTTGTGGCCGTATGGGGGGAAGGAGGGGGGAGGGAGGGGGGGAGGGAGGGGGGGGGGCGATCGTGCGTTGGCGAAAGTGGATAACCAGATTATATGGCGCTCCAACGTAAACCCGATCAGCTGGCCACCTCTTTCGGCCGCCCTTGGAGGTCACACTTGACGCGTTCCTTGACGAGTTTGAGAGGATTGCGAACCCAACTCGATGAACGCTCGTTATCACTAGAGCCAACGTTGCCCGTCGATAGAAGGTTGAGTAGGGCAGCGAATAGGGGACGCTTCTTACAAGAGCGAGGCTCTGCGTGGGTCGGGCGCCGCCGAAGGTGTTCCTGTGGGTGGAGTCATGGGCTTCTGAACGCTGTCGACGCCAGGGACCCCAACTCTGGCGGCGGACGTGGGAGAGGTTGGTGGGCTCATGCGCGTTATGACGGCTATGTTCGAGACGTTTTCACCGGTGTTGTGAATGCCGGGTCTATGTATGTATCCCAACGGCGGTTGACTTCTCGATGTAAATATATTCTGCAGACTCTGATTGCCAACTGGTCTATGATATCCTGCAGAACCTGGTCGCGTACATAACACCCCTTCATTAGCCGAGGACACCTTGGAAACTGACTATACAGGGAGCAGGACGGACCGCAAACTCCCAGGTCAGGTGTCGAAGCAGTTTTAAGACGGTGCACGAGAGAGCAGAGTATCATGACTTGGTTGGAAGTGGTAAGCACGGAAACGTTTGATGAGGTCCAGAAGCTAGATGAGTTTTGTGAGCGGAGTAATGAGCACTTGGGTTCATATCTACTGGGTGAAAACGGTTTGTTGCTTCTCTACATCCCAACGATCGATGAAGAGGAGGGTTATAGTTTCCTTTCAGGATTTCGATTTGCTACAGAAGAGGTTTATCGCGTACTTCCACGACTTCGATTCCTGCTGGTCATAGCAGTGTCAGCGATACTTTTTAAAGTTATGTCGCGCCGCGACTTGATCGAGAATAAGGTTGGACGTATTCCGGTAACACGTAGATTCTCGGTTTGCCAGAAAGAAAAAGCGGGAAGCCTCCTGATTTTGTGCAGCCTATGGAGAGACTTACCATGGAAGGTGGTCATCTGCAATATCATAGCCACCTGCCGCTAAATGTCGATTCTGCAAGGATCGACCAGGCGGCGCGTTGCGGTAAGAGTAATCGCCACCTTGAATGGAATATTAAAGACATGCTCTCACGGAGAATACCCACTCATTGAGCAGTGCAGTTTGCGGTTTCGCTGCTCGCCATGGCTCCAAAGTAGGAAGGGCTAGCGCCAGGCGAGGGGACAACGCAAGTGTCACGTCTTACCTAATTACTCGCTTGGCTCAGTACAAAATGCTGTCTGGACACGTCCACGTCGCCGGTTGGAAGGGGTATTTTCTTCAGAAACAGGACGACGATGAATGATACACTATAGGAGGTCATGGGGAGCGTCCTGCTCCGAAGACCTTTTGCGCACGGCCCCGAGCGCGGAGGAGGAACGGCGATCAGCCGGCTCGTGAGAATGTTTACAGCAAATAGGGAATTCGCAAGAGTACGGGTGGCGCAGAGTGCAATCCTTCTGTACACCTTTAACTCTGTTCTATCACGATAATTCCCGCGTGTAAAGACCACTAGGGAGGAGCTAGAGCTGCCGTCGCTCACCACGGCCCAATTGAGGGAGCCCAGCGGGGCACAGCGTGGACGCCGCCGCCTCCCCGGGTAGCCAATGCGGCCATACAAATCCGGACGGTCCGACTGACCCAGTCGTGGAGGCGGCCGTCCCGAATGAGGCACGGTATAGAAGCCGGCCTGTATTGACAGGACCCACTACGGGGTTTTGTGGGAGCAGCTTCCTTCGCCATTGCCATTACGAACATTCCGCGAGACTGGTATACACCGTCCGCGGCGTGGGGGACCAGGTTGGAGCAGGCCCCCTTGCCCCATGGTGGCCGCGTGGACAGCGTTCGAGGGACAGGGGGCAGTCCACTTCATCTCTCAACGACGGTGGACCCACCAAGCAAGACCATAGGTGGGGGCATCCCGGCGACACCCTATCGCCGCTCTTCCCAGGGCATATGCTACACCCTCTGGCTTCGTCCCTTGGGCCGTGAGAAAAGCTGCTTGCTGTGCGGTGTCCGCCTTTTCCCCTCGGAGGCACCGAAGCCGGAGGCGTGCCCCAGGAGCGGCTGATGACGCTGGCTCCTGTTGTCAACGCGGAGGCATCAGTTCAGCTGCTCCGACGGCGCAGACCCAACCTGCTCGCAACCGAGGCTTAGCCCTGATTGGACCACCTGGGGGACACGCCGCCGAAACCAACGCCGTCCAAGGCCCCCAAACCGTCGTTGCACAGCCCGATCGACGTCCACCTGCCCCATGCCCGTCGCTGCTACAGTGGCCGCTGAGGATGGGTCCGTTTCAGCGCCCGGCGACTTCAACTCCGAAGCGTTCCCAAGCACTCCGCGGTACCCCATTTGAAGTGGTTGGGGGGGGGGGGGAGATTGCGGTCGCGAGGGGGACGGAGATGGTCCCGCGGAGGCCAAGGAAGAAGAACACAAAGATGGCATGGGGCAGAGCTGGGCGGCGAACATTAGAACGGTCGGCTCCGGAGCGGCGAACGGACAACGCACTACCTCTAGCTCGTCCAACAATGAGACAGTAGAGCCCTTCGTAGATTTCTTTATATGGGAAATCTACTTCGGAGTGGTCGAGGTGGGCTCTAATCGGTCCTTGATTGAAGTGAGCACCCGAAAATTTCTGTACGAAAATTCACGGCAGTAGAATCAAATTTTATTTCAACGTTAACTCACGAAAACGAAACCATCGGTGGTAGAATTTCACTCTAGCAATTGGACGATTCAAATCATTTCTATTTTTGTTGTTTATTGTAGGTACCCAAAACGTGCTACCATTGACCAACATTTCGACTAATGAAAAAGTGAAAGTGGAAAACATCGTTCAGATCTGCGTTTCAGAAATTCAAACGCGAAAGGTCGACTGCCAAATTTAGCAATATTTCGTCTAGTGAACCCTTGTGTCATCTAATGGCACGTTTAGAAGAAAAAATATTGAATCATTCTAGAAACACTCAGTTCAACCAAATGGGGAATTCTGTAGCCTACCATTCACGCTCGCTGCTCAATTGTGATATAAATTCCTCTACCGTTAGCTATACCTCATCATGGCAGTAGGTGCGGGATACAGTGATCGCTATGCTGAAACGTTCTTAACACAAATAGCGTATGCTCGACGAAACAATTGCAATCGTAAACTGGTTTCTCTCCTTGATAGTTTAAAAGAATAAGCCCTTGTAGTTCAAACGAATAGGGCAGCAAAACCCCTATATTTTTATTCAGAGCATCAATTGGCCCACAAGCGGCGCTGCTTGGAAGGACTCAAATTATAATATATTGACGTTTACGAGAGGCACGATATTTAAGATAAAAATAGGTGGCGTCTCAGCTTACCTTCCCCGCCGTTTGAGGTAGCCCTTGGCATGGGTATAATAAATATTTTATGACAACTTACATTTTACAACTCGGCGAAACGCGTTATGCGTGGCGCAGTTGACCAGAAAACTCCGCCTATTTGGACATTTAAACAAATAAGGGAAGCACTTAATGTGTATTTGCCGGGCCTCTACATATCGTCACCACATAAAAGCTTAGGAGGTTAATTTTTGGTGGCGCATTTGGTTTTATCGGAAATGAGTTCAGTGGCTTGACAAACCTTAGCGTGCTGATAAATTACAGTGATTCAAGGAACGCGACATTCTCTTCACTTTATTTTTCATGTGGTTTCCTTTTTAAGTAGATTTATGGACTGTTCGGGAAAAATATCAAACAATTCCTTCCTTTAAATGGTTCACAAACAGTCCTCAGTGTAATAGTGTGAATGACATTGGAGATTAAACTATCGACCTACAAAGTTGACCATTGCGCCTGTTTCTCCAATCAGTCGCAGAGGGATATGACACACCCTACGAAGGGACAGGACGTGCACCAGATTTTTGATGATTAATCATTTTTCAGAGTCTCGAATCCTTGGTGACCCAATTATCACATTTGATGCAACCAGTAAAGGGGCCGAAAACAATTATCCGTCGATACACAATCAAAGTAATTTACTGTAGATAAAATGTATTTTCCAAATACCATCTCAAGCTCAGTCTGGGAACCTGTAATGGATTATCAGCGAAATAAAGTTTATGTTACTCCCACTCACTTTTATACTTTACTATTTAACTGTTTTCAAGGCCCGAATTATTACTGGACTTTGAACATGTGTTTCATTATTTATATTGTCTTTGTACACGCAGCGTTCGTCTCTGGCGTTCTCATGACAATTCTGGCGGTTGTAGTTCCAAACTTCGGATCCGTGGCCAGAGTGAGTAGTCTGAAATGATGCCTAAAATTAATATTACCTTCTACCATAAATGTAGATTGGTCGAATATTTCCTGCTGGTATTCATCCAAAGCTACCCTTCACCTCTGATACTTATCCGTGCATTCAGCAATAGCTGTGACGATACATTTTGAACAGGATTATAAGGAAGGTACAGGTGTCTTGGCATTGTTATCAGGTCTATAAAACTATGTAAGTGCCGCATACAGCATATACATTGAAACAGCACTTTGTTACACCTATGAACGTCAAGACCTCAATATAAGAACGCCAACACAGGCAGAAAACAGGAGAGTGCTAAAGCGGCATCGAAAGCATACGGAAGGAGCGTCATAGTCCGCAGACAAAAAGATGTTCACTTTGGTTTGCAGTAATTAGCACAGAAGTTGTTGAGTAATGCCGCCCTGGCTTAGGGTAGTAATTTCGGCTCTCTTTGTACCCCGTTCCTCTGCAGCGTGTTGGTGTTCAGTTTAATACTTAGTACCTCGTCCGTGCAAAGCAAAAAAAAAAAAAGAAGAAACGCGAGTAACAAAAGAGGCATGCCAAAATCACTTTCACCAGTGTCCCCTTGAAATAGCGTCTGGGTCGAATTAAAAGGATGCAGCCGCTTAGTTTTGTACTAATGACATATAGTATATGTCGTCATTATTACCCTGAGTAATACGTAACGTGTTACGCCTTTTTAGAAACAAACGTAGTTATGTAATTTCTGGCAGTTAGATCATGTAGGAGATATATCCATTTTTTATATTATCAATATAAATAGGGTAGCACGGCGCATTGAGAAAACTCGCTTCGGCGACTCTACCCGGAAATCGTTCAATCGTCTTGAACGATTTCCGGGTTTATCGGGACGTTCGGAGCGTTCGGTCCTTCATAGGTCTACGTGGTTTGCACCGGATGCCTTGATGCGTTTCCTAGCTCCAAATAACACTAGCATGTTCTCTCTCACAATGAAGCCAAAGTGTCGGCTTACGAATTGCGTAGTAGTGTAAATTAATAATTCACTAGGGGATTAATTCTTACAGCGCGGTCAAAATCTAAAGGTCTTGGCGCCGACAGGATTTGACCAGTCGGAGTGGCTAGGCGCTCTGGCGTCTTGGGGATTTGCCATTTGAATTGGGAGCGGTGGCTGTTGCCATCTATCGCACTAGAAACCCCTCGGAACAGCGGAGACAGCAATATCTGTTGTTTTGGCCAGTCGAGTATACTGGTGTGCTGGCGGCAGCTCTTTAGGTCAGCGCGACTCCGCGACTCTGCGACCGCATGGCTGGCGCGATGAACATTTGTGCTACTTGATGCTGAGTACCCACACCGCCAGGGGAGTTGATGGTGTTTGAGGCGCGCTTTCTAATTCATATCAGCAAAGTATGATGTGCTTTTCTAATTAGGTTTTTTTTTTTTTTTTTTAGTCTGAAAAACTGGGGGCACGCTTATCCTCGGTCCTTATTTCCTCGCGCCAATCTCTTGAGCAAAAATAATTTATATCGATAGCGTGGTCGTTTTCTAGACGACGTTAGGAAAGGCATCAAACCATCAAATGTTTATTTCTTTTATTTATAATGGAAACATTCATTTTCAGAGAGAAATTTGAATGATCCGAGAAATAGTTTAATTCATATTGGAGTCTGGGGGTAATAATTTATGTGTTCAATGCAGCTGATGATGCTTCTCTGGAACGCCCTGTCCGGACCTCTTATTGGGGTATTTTTATTGGCGCTCCTGTTTCCTTGTGCAGATAAAATGGTGAGACACGATTAGCCTTTCGTTTAGCACTTTTAAACAATTCTTATACATCAACAATATCCATTGCATAAATCTCGCTGATCATACAAAATAGATGAATTTTGTAACGATATAGATTGAAAATCTTATGTTTTGATATTTCTTGTTTATCAAAGCAATACTTTACTCAAATTACTTTATGACCTTCACATCAAAAGACTCATTCACCGTAAAAGTAAAATATCGTGCGGAAACAGATCTAGTAAGGCCTAATAATAAATTGTTGTCTACGCGCGTATAAGCAATTTTCTAGAGAAGTAACAAACAATACAAACTTCACGACACTAAACAATTTATATACCCAAGTTAAAAATGTCCATGTTCAAACAACGGCGTCTATTTATCTCGCCCCCTTAAAAATTACAGAGCGTTTCATTGGTGTCGTTATATATATATATATATATATATATATATATATATATATATATATATATATATATATATCAAATTTTAAATTATAGTTTAAACAAGTTGAAACTGAAGCCGGCTTTTGCATTCGTAATGCTCTTGCCGCAGCACAACAAAACCCAAGAAATGTAATATTACAAATTCGTTTTCCTCTTTATTGCAAACGCTGCAGGGAACTTCTGCCGCCACAATCATGACGATTGTTTTTCAAATGTGGCTAACCTTGGGGAAAGTTCATCGCGGCATTCGCCCTGCGAGAATGGAAGCCTCCACGACAAAGTGCACTGAATACTTCACTTCCGCAATCAGGTCGGTCAACCAGACGTCTTTTAAAGTCACCGAAGCCACGTAAGTTATTTCCTTATCACGTTCTATCCACAATAAGCAAAACATTAGACACTGAAATGAAAGTTCGAATCAATAAATTCGTCCTCCCGAATACGCTACGTCCAGTGGTAACGAGTATAACTTGATGAGTTGGAAAGGGATTAACTAAACTTGACTAAATACGCGCTTCGATATTCGTTCTATACAGCACATTTTAATCAGAGATACTTAGCGATCTATAAATATAGATTATAGCACTTGTCTGATTAAAGAAATTTATTTACGCCTCGCGCTAATCAGTGGGGAATATACAGGCTTTCAAGTCTCGGCCATACGGAGACACAGACATTAAAACAAACAAAGGGTGAAGGTTTGAGTAAACGATAGAGGCCGCTGCTGAAGCAAGCTGTAAAGTTCCTGTCACCGTGAGAGACCAGGGGCATGGCCACTGATGTTCAAACCCTTTGATTGATGATTCCATCTTTGGCGTTCTTATTAGCTAATTTCAGCTGTCTAATTGGCTTCCTAGCGATAAGTATATGACGCTCAAAATGCGCCTCAACCTGCGTGTCAAGCCATCCGTGACTACAAATAGGAGGGACATATGACCTTTTACAGGTGCCGTGAAACTTCGAAGTGCCACCTGCGTGACGCCACAGTTCTTGAAAGCTAATTTCGGCTCACAGTAGCGCAATCGAGTGAAAGGCGTCATGTTGTACCCGCATAAAGTGCTTCATCATTAGTATTGGCTGACGTTTAAAGCAACAATATTAGTTGTCATTCATTGTAAAACAGAGCATCAGCGTACTCTGAGGCTTCAATACTCTGTTTCACACTCGACCAGAGCAAATTCTACGATACGATGGGTCCAATACAGCAGCATCAACAGTGCATCGTTATGACGCTGGTCAACTTTTTGCGCTCGCTATAACCTACTAAACTAAATATACGCACTGAATACGCCGTGATTCTGCTCGATTTCTGTGCGCGATTAGTTTCCCATTTGAGGACGTCAAATTTCAAATAGACGAGCGTCCCGACGATGCCCTTTTAGCGCTGATTGGTTGTCTCAATCGGATCGCCGAAAAGGCTGTGAGCAGGCCTCGTGCGAAAGGTCGCCGCTCTCGGCGTTTCTGAAGCGCCATCAAACATCCTCATGTCGTGATATACAATTTTTTTTTCTTACTACAGATTATTTTAAATAAATTCGTAAAACCTACACGAACATTTTTTATGCATTTGATTTATGCGGAAATGCGAGCATTAAAGAGGAATATATTAGTCACAATACGTGAGTTATGTAACTAAAATATGCGAATTACCATTTTAACCAATGCACGAATAGGTTACGTTGCAATTGGAGTGTGTATGGCCATTTCTGTTAGACGTTGAACAAGCCTAAAGACATGAAGAAAAGAAAACGCACATTAATGAAACAAAATATTCATTAATAAGTTTTCGCGTTTTGTTACCTGATTCCATAACCTAATCTATGATAATCGCCGCGACCTTTTTTCTTAATCATAATATAAGATTCACGTAATACGCTTTTGGCGCTCGTCAACACATCGGCAGGTAAGTGTATGTGAATCCACCAAGGATGCGCTGCCAAGATAACGACGACGTGAGACACTGACATGACAGGACATCTAACACTCTTCCGCGTCCGCATTTGGGATCGGACGACAAAAACGTTGACACTCTTCAAGGAACATCTCAGGACCCGTTGTTCCTTTTATTTATTTAATTTAATTTAATTTATATATCTTCTGAGAAGGATGCCTCCTTTAAATCCGCAGTTGAAACACGTTCCATCTAAAATTAAGATATTTAATTGTTTGTACTTGTGCCACTGATAATGACAATCTTCCAAAATTAATGTTCGCGTGGCCGTATGCCTGTTTTGTACAGACCGCATGAGTGTGTGTTTCACAGTACGTTTCACTAAAATGTGTATATGATTAAAAAAATCACCCGGTATTTTGGTTGCCTGCTTACCAGTCGGATGCAAGCGGCACTCAGTCGTATTACCCGTATTTTTGGCTACGCGGTTTGCCCGCAACAAACATAAATGAACCTGAGAAATAAAAATGTTGCGCTATAGTGGAACCATTTTTAATCTGAAATTGGTTAAGACAAAGTGCACTTTTTAACCTTCTTTTTTTCGAAAGAAAATCGAATGAGAAATTTGGCATTTATAGGTATGCATTTTATAATGTTCAAAACAAAACAAAAAACAATAAATGTGCACTTGAACTTTTCATATTCCGGGAGCTGTAAATGAAACATGGTTGACCAATTTACTTAGTAAACCATTTTGTAGGATAACCTCTTACATGGGCATATTATACGGATAATTTTAGTTGATAACCAAAAAAATATAGTCAGTACAATCTCTATGTTAATTTTTCTTTTTTTCTTTCTTGACTGTATATAATTAGTAGGCCGATGACATGTACTCCCAAAAAAGCAACGAAAGCGTTGCTTAAATGTAAACCTTCTTCACTAAATATTACCTTCATTATTATAAAACATAGACTAGGATTCACTTTCAGGGAGCTTATAATAAGAAATAAAACGTCACCCAATCTACAAAATTGCTCATGACGTAACGCACTCACCAAGCATCGATGTCAAATATGAGGGCTCTGAGACTGAGCACGACGCAAACACGCTTTCTCGAGCTCACGTCATTCACAGTATCAGAGCGCCGATAGTTTTCTTTTGTTTATGTCTAAGCAGGATTAAGACTCGTTATATTGCAAGCTTTCTCTGTAGATTGCAGCGAGTGGATCTCCAAATTGCTTAAAGGAAAATTTGTCGAACCAGCCTTTTTACAGAGTACGCATTTGATGTAAAATTACATTTCACGGGATAAGCTATTCATCTGCTTGAAAACTAAATGTTCATGACACTCATGAACATGATTAAACAATAAAATTATTTTAGATTAATAAAGCGAGAGTTAATGATGAGCCTATCAAAGAGAGGCGGCCTAACTTTGAACATTTATGTTTTTGTATGTTATTTATGAATTTTATTGTAATTGTTTTCTCTGCTCATGGCGCCAAATACAAAGCTTTGTTTTAATTTTCAAATAGGTTCAGCTAGGCAACGCCGCATACAAAGGTTTCATTAAATAATATGTAGGAGTAATGCTAATCACTTCTAGGGGAGTACGTCGGGACCCTATCTAATCATTTTTTTTTTCGAACAGAGATTTCGAACCAGCTGGGTTGTATCGTCTCTCAGCCTACTGGAGTGGAATGATCACCACTCTGGCCACCATTGCACTTGGACTGATATTCAGCAGGATAGGAGGTAAAAAATTATACTTTTGCGGCACATAAACAAAACTTGTTAAATGCATCTCAAGCACTCAAGTAAAACTAAATTATATTAAGACCTGATCATAAGATTTTCTACTAGGAGAGTTGCACGTACGTTTTAAACCGAATCGAATATCTGGCAATGGTGGTAATATGGTGTGGCCATCACATTTATCTCTCCATGTTTACACCAATAGGACTTCCAGTACCATTTGAAACGGAGCGCTCAACGAGTTAGAGAGTCTTAAAGCGATAAACCGGCAGTTGAAAGTGACTCGCACCCGGCCACCGCCATGTTGTACATTTTTTTTTACCACTAAGCGTGTGTCGTTACAGTTTTACGTCTAGATTTTAAAAAAACGTACTGCGCACAGATAATTGCTTATTGAACATTAATGAAAGTACCGACGACAAAAAAATTTTCCGACAAAAACTCGGGCAGCTTCGCCATGCCTCCGCTAGATGCCGGCAACCGCTCTGCTGCACTTTTTTTTTTTTTTTTCTTTATCGGAGTTGGGCACTGATTTTTGGGGCTAATAGTATTGAAAAAATAGTTTATCATGTTTTTACAGCGATCGCAATACACATATTGGCTTTCTTTGGGTAAAATTCTCAGGATTTGGCACGATCACGTTTGTGGTGGTTAGAATTGTACAACATGGTGGCAGCCAGGGAGGGGTCACTTTTGCCTGGTAACCGGGATGCCAGTATATTGATCTATGCCCCTGTACCTCGTCAGTAGCTCTGAACAAAGCGAAGTGAAAAAAATGGTTGGGTCTAGGCGTCAAGTTGGTTGATGCCATTTAAAAGGTTAAAAGCGCAAACCGCAGAAACACGAACGAAACATGAAACATGCACGGCAAGGACAAGGCCCCCCTAAAACTGAATTTATTGTGAAAAAAATAAGTTAACAACACTGTCATTCTCCATATTAATAACAGTCCATTTGCCGATAACACATCGACAGTTTTATATGACGCCATCTAAATAAGAGATTTCCTTATCCTGCAGAAAATTATACGTCATACGCACATACTTTTAACCCCATTCTTGAAAGAAATATTCGAATTCTCCTTCCGTCTTTTCATTCGCTTCTTAAACAAACTTCGTCGAATCTAAAAGCGGTTCGCAACCGCGGAGCTTAAAATTCTCACAGCTAGGATAAATTCCGAAGCGTGCTTTTATCAAAGTTATCGTTTTTTAAGGTACCGCATGAACCATTTTCTTAACATACCAGGCTACGATTGTGAGCAGAGGTGGTCGAAGATAAAGCATTTTGCTATAAAAAATATTTGTGCGAACTGACCGGAGCAGAGAGTAAAACAATAAGAACGCGAATCCGCCACATAAGCTTTATTTTACTAAACGAGCGCAGCGTTATTAAAGGTACAGAGGTGAGAGCGCAACGCTAGCAGGTCGAGAAGAGGGAAAGGGGGAACTGCCCTTTTACCCGGACCCTCCTGTGTGTACTTCCACACCGCCATTCTCCCCTTAGAAGATTAGCTCGTCGGTTTAATTCGGAGGAAAAAAAAAGATTTTCCTCTCTTCTGCCCGTGGCTTCCGCAGTACTGCCCCTGCACTCAGCGCTCAATTAGGCGTCTGACTGGCGCAACCGATGACAGATAGGAGTACAAAAGTTTCTAGGCTGCAGAGATGGTCACGACGGGCGCGCCCTTCCAACTAAGTACTAGTGGGCTGTATTTTAGTCAGAAGCTGCCAGGACGTTTTCAGGTGCATTGCGTGATTTCTAGTTTTTATTCTCTCTTAAAACACTTGAGGGGCCCGGAACAAAAAGTAAATATTTTTGTCCGTCTATTTCGGCTGTGTGTGTCAAACGCTGCCGCTATTTGTATGCAGTTTCACCCGCCAGGCGCCTCTCGTGAGCAGACGGGCGCTGTTGGTATATTCGGAGAGCAAGTCGTCTGATTCCTTGCGCGTGGGATTTTGGTAACGTCAGAATGACGCCGAGTTCTGATTGGCTTTGAATCGAAGGATAGTGGGCTGACCTCAATGTTAGATGCCTCGAGGTCTACCCACTACTTTTTTTATAATTGGCCTATAGAGCTCGGCGTTCTGACATCATTGCACTTCCTGTGCAAGGAGCAGACGAACTTACGCTCCGCATATTTCGTTTTTACATCAAGTCCGATCGCAGCCGACACTACTACTCGATAAAGCAAAGCAAGATATGCCAAAAGTGCATCGTCATGGCGCTCGCCATCTTGGTGTTTTCGCTACCAGCGGATGCAACAATCAGGCACAGAAAATGCGCAGGATCAGAATGAACGCATTCAGTGTGCGTGATTGATTTATCCTGCGAGGGCAAATGCACGAAGACGTCAATGAGCGCAAAGCCAAATAGACATATGCTTTGCTTGATTTGCTGTACCCTATCGTAACGTCATGGTCTTTTTGTTTTAAGCTTATTTTTGAAACGTTTACAGCGCACAGCATATATCATGTTCGGCCATGCTCTTTAGACAATCTTCGTACTTTACGTTGAGAAACCGATGCATCAAATCCCTCCAAATGGCCGATGATTCGTTTACCTCGTGAGGTATACAAGAGGTTGGTCCAGAAGGAGGTAACATGTTTTGGAAAAGTTTTAAATGAGGGTCATTTCATGTCAAATGTCCCAGGTGTCACGCTCGACCACCTCTGATTTCTAAAAAAAATCATGGCCTTTTTCTGCATTGTCCGTAGTCATGCGCTAAAATATTCTTGACGAAAAAGAAATTTGATGGCGTGAGCGCAGTTCTAACTTTCAAAAATAGCGAGAAACTAGGTATCATTCTATAATTTATGAAGAAGCAGCATTTTTATGAAACACTGAACAATATTTTTTTCTTAAATCTGCATGGCTTTCGACTTGCAATGTGGTTGGGGCTTGCGCAGTTTTGTTTAATTTTTTTTTTTTTACACAATTGGTTTTTGAAAAATTTAACATTTTCCTTATTTTATTAAAAAAATATCTAATGGCTCCAGGGACTCAACATAACTTTTTTGGCGGTTTCACCTGCAGGTATATAATCTATAGAAATGTTTATACCACGCAATTAAATGTCTCCCAGTAAACAAAAATCATGAAGTTGCCAAAAGTGCGTTTCGACGCATAAACAGCCGTTTATTTCACCCTGAGATGGTCTAAGTAAAAATACAATATATACTGGGTTTGGAAGAACAATCGATTTTCTTTTGATTCTGAAAGTTTAATCAAATTAATTTTTGTTTAAAGCAAGAAAACAATTTCTGAAGTTGAACTCTCGCACCACAACCCTGCGTCGCTTCTTAACGCCTCTTTGCCGCACAGCACGCCATCGGCGACGATAGCTGACACGATTAGGTCCAAAGAAATAGCAGAGTTTACTGCCGCTTCCCCTTGTCCGTCCTTTCAGCTGCAAGGGAAGAAGTGGCGGGCATCGTCTTTAAAATCGGAAGTGCCGCCAGTGTGTAGCCATAGCAGGCAGGCCCTTTGTGCCCTTCGTATCCAAAAGCGGCTCCTCACACTCCGAAACGCGATGCCTAATCGACGGGCGGCATCAGCTGACGTGGACTTCTCCTAAAAGGGAAACGCGACAATATTGTCGCGAAATCTTACCGTCACGCATACCGCGGAACCTCCTCAGTCCCGGTGACCCCAATCGGGGCCAGTGGTTCAAGCGCGTGATGTTGGTCACCAAACGGGAGTCTTCTCTTTAAATTCAAATTTCCCGCCTCCGCAAGCACTACTTTCTGCACGCTCCATGAGAGGGCGCTACTGGTCGAGCCAAGGTACCGCACAGCGTGTTCCAAGATGGCATCTTCCATGGAAACCGCGCGCTGTCGTCCTCGTGGTGAGTAATATGTTTTTTCTCAACCAATATGCACTAGAACGTTACTTACAGAGTGTCGCAGTCCTTTTGAAAGGTCAGAACACTATACGAAAATAGTTTAGTGTGAAAGTTGCGTTGTTATTTGCTGCTAAGCGTTGTTTAGATTTGATGTCCCCATTTGGGTACTGTGGGTCCAAAGTGCCACTTTATTGCTTCCAGCACCGTACCTGACTGACGAAGAAATTCATGCCCTTCTGCAGGAAAGTGACGCTGATCTTACAGACTCAGAGGACACTGATGCTCTTGCTAATGGTTTGGACGGCCGTGGTGATACAGAGCCTGAGTGATGAGAGTGACGACAGCCAAGACGATAAAAGTGACCAAAGCCACCAGCACTGACTCCGCCAAGGTGATAGAGCAAAGCTCATGTATCTTTTAGTATTCTTTCTACGCGTATATCAAGTGAACTAGAAGAAACTCTGTGCACTTAAACACACTTCTTATTTTGGAAATCATTTTCTGGCATTACCGTCAGAGAAGAGGATGAAGTATCAAGCAGCCAGGCGCGCCAGGAGCCAGACACACCATTGAAATATTTTCTTAGATACTTTCAAGAGGACCTCTGGGAGGAATTAGCCTACCAGAAAAATCTCTCTTCCGTTCAGGAAAAAGGAGGGAGGTCAATTCAGACGGATTCAAGGGAGTTGAAGATGTATGTTGGTATCCACATCACCACGGGTGTACTGAAGCTCCCAAGAGTGCGGCTCTACTGGTCTTAAACGCTAGGTGCTGATCTAATTGCACAAGCAATGCCAAGAAACAGGTTTTTTGAACAGAGAAGTAACATTCACTTTGTTGAAAACGTGTCGGTAACCACAAAAGAAAAGGAAGAGAACAGGCTCTTTCTAGTAGAGCCTATCGTGAACTCGTTCAGAAATGCCTGCTTGGAGCTGCCCTGATCTCGTGAACTATCAATCGATGAGCAGATGATTCCGTTTTCAGGGAGATGTCCCGTGCGGCAGTGTGTGCTTTCCAAGCCAAACCCTGTCGGCCTTAAAAATTGTATTATGGGATCTCCAGATGGCTTGGTTCTGGACTTTTCCATCTATGTTGGCAAGGGCACAGTGTCTTATGACGACATGCGAGAGTTTGGACTTGGGGGAAGTGTCGTCAAGAAGCTTCTGGGAACACTAAGGAGGGACCGAGAGACTCACGTGTTCACTGACAGGTGCTTCACGGGCCTGAAGATAGCTAAACACTACATTGAAAAAAAAATGTCTTTATGAACGGCACAGTGATGGCCCGCCGTACTCGTGGCGTTGCGGGGACAATGCGGTAGAACCGGTCAATGCAGCGCGGTGAGTCACACTGTGAAGTGCAAAGTGACGACAAAATGTGCATTGTGAAGTGGAAAGACGACAAATCTGTGTTGGTCTTATCCACTGCATTTGGCACTGAGCCCGAAGGAAGTTGCGAGAGGTGGTCAAACGATGAAAAGAAGATAAAAGAGAACCAACCCGATGCAGTTGCAAGGTACACCAGGTACATGGGCGGGGTTGATTTAATTGTCAGGTTTGTCTTCTACTATCGGATCTCTTTGCGGACAAAGAAGTGGACTGTCTGCGTCTTTGCCCCCTTTTTAGACATGGCCTGTTGTTAACGGCTGGATCGAGTACAAGAGAGGGTGTGAACGAGCTGACGTTCCAAAACCGCAGAGGCTAGATATTCTGGACTTCAAAATGAACATTGCAATTTCACTCATTCAAGCAGAAATGCGGGGATCCAAGAGACCAAGAGAGCAGGAAGAGGAGAGCGATGAAGAAGAGACTACACACACTGTGCGGCAGAGGAGCAAAATCATTCCGCTTCCTACAGATGATGTCAGATACGACATGACAGGACACTTTCTAGAGGACCAAGGGCTTGAATCACATATGAGGTGCAGGAATTCAGGTTGCGCGGGCAAACCAAGTGTGAAATTCCTGAAGTGTGGCGTATTTCTTTGCCTCCAGAACCGCAACTGTTTTGTTGCCTTTCATACGCACTGAGTCCCACAGGACCCAATCGGGGACAGCCAAGTTTCACAACTTTCATTCTTTGTTTGAAGAACTATTTTTTTTTCTCAGTGATTTGTTGTGTGCTCATGTGCCAAATAAACAAGCCGAGACTGAAGCAGAACTATTCACCGACGCTAGAATTTGCCGTTTCAAAGCCGATTTAGACACAAGCGAGGCGTGAGCCTCCAATGGCGCGCATTCGGTAACACCACATCGCCTCGTCGTTTGAGAATGCCCGTTCACTGGGCTTTTGTGTTGCTGTTATAAATAGTATTCTGACGTTGACAATAGAGAGTGATTGCGGTTTGTAAGTAAGAAACAGCAAGCTTAGTAGGGGATGCTCTAACCCGGCAACGCTAAGCATCTGCTGATATCAAGACAGTGGAAGAGCACAGGACGACACCGCCGCGCAAAACAGTCGAAACAGGAAAATTTGTAAAGCAACAAGAGAGAAAATAAAGCTTCTTCCCACCACGATGTACCCGTCAACGCGAAGTCCTGCTGTCTACCTGCGTGCACAAAGTGTGACACCGTCGCACGCTTTGCCAGGCTCGACGGTGGCGTGCTGTGCAGAGAAGAGGCGCAAGAAACGACGCCAGGTTGCGGCGCAAGAGCTCAACATCAAAATGTTTTTTTTCCTCTTTACAAACAAAATTATTTTATTTAAACTTTCAAGAACAAAAGGCAATAAACTCTCCTGTAAAAGTCACCGCGTTTTGTATTTTTCTTCGGGCCACGTCAAGGCAAAATTGACGGCTCATGAAACGGCAAGACGCAATTTTGCACAAATTTAGTCGTTTTTCTGCATGATATTTATTTGTACGGCCTGAAACCTTTTTTTTTTTTTTTGTGCAGAATACCTTCAGGGCTGTCAATAAGAATTTTTACAGTCATCTGCACCAACGAGATAGTTTGTAGCAAAACTATCAAAAATTCAAAAATTCTTATATATTCCTTTTTTTTTTAAATTGCCTAAACCCAATATTCATGATGGTTATTACTTAGCCATCCAAATACCATGTGGTCTATAGGCAAAACTATTCCACCTTTCTATAAATATATCTTACTTCTCATGGAGAAGTAAGATATATTTATGGAGAAGTCCACGTCGCTTGACGCATTGAGAAGTCCACGTCTGCTGATGCCGCCCGTCAACTAGGCATCGCGTTTCGGAGCACGAGGAGCCGCCCTCGGATACAAAGGGCACAACGTGCCTGCTATTGCTACGCACTGACGGCACCTCCGATTATCAACACGATGCCCGTCGTTTCTTCCCTTGCAGCTCAAAAGACGGACAAGGGGAAGCGGCAGTAAACTTCGTTCTTTCTTTGGACCTAATCGTGTCAGCTATCGTCGCCGGCAGCGTGCTGTGCGGCGAAGGGACGTTAAGAAGTGACGCCGGATTGTGGTGCGAAAGTTCAACTTCAAAAATCGTTTTCTCGCTTTAAACAAAAATTACTTCGATTAAACTTTCAGAATAAAAAGACAAACGATTGTTCTTCTAAACCCACCATATTTTGTATTTTTACGTGGACCACCTCAGGGTGAAATAAACGGCTGTTGATGCGTCAAATCCCTATCGAAAAAAAGCGGCTTAAGCTGGTCCCAGCTTCAAGCTCGGTTATTGCTACAGCATGCCCAGTTTGGCATTCTGGTTGATATGGTCATACTGGTCATGGTGGTTGATCTGGTGCCAGCTTTAAGCTGAGTTATTGCCCTAGCACGCCCAGTTTGGCATGCTGGTTAAGTCGGTGGACTTCCCCACCAGTTCAACCGGTTTAACTTGATGCACAGGATAAACAAGCCAAACTCTTCAGAAACGCAAGCTCGGCATCTAATTTATTATTTTCGTACTCGCGGCCTGCTCACATGAGCTCAGATGCTACACATCCTCGGCACTGACACAGTACTAACCGACGCAGACAGTGGTTCTCGGTGCAAAAAAAAAAAATGTTATTAAAAGTATATTGTTTATCTCTCAACTCGAGAAATACTAATCACACGCCAAAAGCAGGCAATAACAATAAAAAAATACTACACGGATGAGAGAAGCGAACCTGGGTCCCGCCAGTAACGGGGGCGAAGCGGCCTCTTGCATAGTGGGCAGAGGCTAGGAAATCCGTGTGGCTTGAATGGCATTGGCGATACTCCTCGGCACCACCGTTATTCACGAGCACACACATGTTCGAAGACATGAAATGACGCCCCAGTCGGGGCGTCCGACTTCTTCCCGCGCTGAACGGACCGCCGGTCGTTGTCTCCTCAAATGCCGCTTCGCTTGCACCGTCGTTCAAGTAGTCTCCAAACAACGCGCACACAGCCATCCTTTAGAAAATCTGCCCAAGATAGCCAAACGTGTCTCAAATTCTCCGTTTATACCACCAGTCTCTCTCTCTCTCTCTCTTCTCGCACACAAAGGAAGCTCTCAGCGCGCCTGAAGCGCCCGGTCGTCGACCAAAAACGAGAGGACAAAGAACAGGACGTGGCCTCGCCCCAGCCTAAGCGGACCTTGGCGCACGCGCTCCCGGCAATGCCAGCTCGACAACCTCTAGCCAACCTTGGCGTGCGCGCTTCCAGCAAGACCAGCTTGACAAGCTCGAACCAGTTTGGGCCAGCTTCAGCACCAGCTCAAACCAGCTTGACAAGCTTGAACCAGTTTCAGTACTAGCTCGAACCAGCTTAAGTACCAGCTTGCCCAGCTGCAGTGCCAGCTCGAACCAGCTTGAACCAGCTTGACCATCTCGAACCAGCTTGACAAGCTTGAACGAGCTTCAGTACCACCTCGAACCAGCTCATGTAGCAGCTTGCTCAGCATAAGTTCCATCTCGAACCAGTTTGAACCAGCTTGATTACCACGTAGACCAGCTCGAACCAGCTTGCCCAGCGTCATTTTCTTGCTGTATTTTTTTCTTTCAATAGGGAACGCACTTTTGGCATCTTCAGGATTTTGTTTTTACTGCGAGATATTTATTTCAGCGGTTTAAAATATTTTTATAGATTACATACCCGCAGGGGGCAGCCGGTAAAATGTTCAATGAAGTCCCCGGAGCAATTATATTTTTTTTTAAATAAAATACCAAAAATATTAAAATTAAACAAAACTGCGGAAGCCGAACCACACTGCAAGTTTAAAGCTGTTCAGAATTAAGAAGAAATAATGTTGGGTGTTTCATAAAAAAAGGTGATTTTCATCAATTATCGAGGGATACCTAGTTTCACGCTAGGTCTAAAAGTTAAAACTGCGCTCACGCCGTAAAAATTTTTTTTCGTAAAAAATATTTTACGGCATGGCTACGGACAATGCAGCAAAAAAACGTGTTTTTTTTTTTTTGTTTTTTTTTTGTTTTTTTTTTTTAGAAATCGAAGGTGGTCGAGCGCAACGTCTTTGACGTTTTACATGGAAGGACCCCTGAGCCTCGTCACGATAACTGCTCGACTGAAGTATGTTTGCTCTTCGAAAGTGTATTTTGCGACATACGTGTTTAATCTAGGCATTTAAACAATAAAAGGTTTTATGAAGTTTAGTGTTCCTTTAAGTGGGACACGCGTGGTGGATGGCACCACATGGAGGAAGCGTATTTCGCTAAATATCGCTAAGATTCTGGGGACACGAGCCGCATATTTCAGTGTGCGATGCTCTTGTCTGAATATCTTTATTTCAAATATATGTTCTTGTTTCCAGGAGAACATCGCAACTATCGCACACACCTGTTCCTAACGAGCCACCAAGCGCTTTGTCTGTGGCGCAGATTACGCTTGATTACTGAGAGTGATTTAGTAAGTATATTTGTACGTAAATCACACCACCTTGGCGGCTCCGAGCAAGAGGCCGGACTACGGATACCCATGTAGTGGGTTCTAATCCCGATCGAGAATCCCGCGGTCTAAAGGAGGCTTATCGCATGAAAAGAGGACGACAAGTAACAAATTTCCGCTGACCGTCAAATGATCCCCAGGTAGCCAAGCATATTCCTAAGAAGTTTCTGAAGGTCCCCAGGTATCTTTAGATTGTTTAACGCATATGACTTCCAAATCTCTTTTATGGGAGTCCCTTTCCGGAGGTGCGATCGGCGACAGCCGGGCTTGGGTTGCCGACTGGACGCCGCGAGGCGGCGTGTCACAATCCTGTGTGAAAAACAAACAAACATATTGGCAGTTTTAAAATGTTCATGCTCGACGTCTCATGAGGTCACACTCGATGTCAAACTCTAATCGTTGTACGGGTTTTGGAAAGAAGCTTTATCTGAGTATTTAAATTAAGAGTCCTGTATATATAAATTTTGGAAAATAATTGCTGATCATAAAGTACATTGTGCATTTATTGTAACTGATGAATATCCATCGGATGTCGTGTAGTAATCAATGTATTAATCTGACAATATGTAAACCTGGTTATATGCTACAATTTCTATTTTGCGAAACGACCCTCTGAGAAAAATGTGTTGTTCGAAAAACAATTGTAATCATGTACAACGTAGAGGTAGCGTATTTACACACGAGAACGCGTCCCGCAGTCATGATAATGGTGGTAACGTTGAAGTGATAATGCATTATGCACAGTTAAGTGCAAGTAGAACAATATATGAAAGCTGAAAAATGACAGTAGCAGTGAAAGATATTTTTTTTTACAAATAATTGAATACCAATAATATCTAGAGAGCAATGGTATCGCATACCTAGAATAAAATGCAGACTTTTTTATTCAAAAACAAGAATTCTCTACCTAAATGCTCGTTCGTGATAACCTTTTTCGGGCAATGTGATCGCTGGCGAGGAGTCTATCGTGGAGTTTTAACAAACGGTGTAATATCGTTTAAATAAAGCTGAAGGATGCTAACATAAACCCAAAATATCGCACAGGCTTGCATAAAAAAAATACTTTATTACCTAGACCGGGTGAATGTACTGTAAATTTCACGCACAGTGATTTTTCTAGTGATGGGATGATAACTTCTGTAAAACGAATGACTCCCAACAGTTCAATTAAAAATCTGTAGGAGAAGCTTCACCATCTTTGTAGATACCACGATGTTAACAATGCATCAGGATGCAGACAAATATTGGTTTCAATAGACATGGAATACGCAATCTAAGTTGTCTTTAAACATTTCATCAAATGACAGCGCGCTCTGCAGACTCTTTTCAGGCGAAATGTGGTGCTGCGTTCCTTGGGAAAGACGCTAACTCGTAACCGACATTTTAATGCATATGGAAAGGCAAGGAAAATGAACTATAGTAATGTGCAAAAAATTTAAACCGAAAAAAAATCGTCAGGAATGAAAGATTTTGGAAGATATAAATAATTTTAGCTTATTTATACGGTAGTTACAAGCTATGCTCCACTTAACCTTAAAATGAACCGGAACGGCCTCTACAAGCCATCCCAGCCACTCCAACTTTGTGAAAATATTACCTTACTACACGCCCCGCACTCTGCAGACTCTTTTCAGAGAATAACGTGAGAGTTATACGACATTAGATTGGCTTTGCTGACCCGTATTATCATCTGTGATGATACGATTTTTGCTGACCCGTATCATCATATCACGAAGGGATGTATTATCCTGTAAATTTCTACTCGTCTTCGTCCGCCCTGTTACCTCCGTTCCTGCTACGGTCATCGAAAGAAAAATTACCAGTTCCTAAAGAGGTACGACCTGAGCTGAACTTAATGCGCAGAAATTTTCTTAATTTCAGATATTGCATGAAAATCCGAAAAACGGCTGCAATAGAGAAAACAACATTCCGGAAAACAGAACTCTGAAGGAACCAGGCTCACCGTCCGATAGCCGTCAAAACTATGCCCGTCCTCTTTTGCTCAAAACACCAGCCCTTCTAAATGCCTCTTCACTGACCTCTGCATAGGCCTTCAGAGTTTCCATGACGCCGTAGGTATATACATGCCTGAAGTGTCAAACTAACTTTTATATTTATTGCACCTTTGTATTTATCATAATATCTATTTATGTTAATTCCTAAAACGCATATGTTGTAAGTACTGATCATTTAATAAATCGTTAAAGTAAATTGTTAAGCAAAAGTGTTGTGTCCAATTGTTAGCTGATTAGAAATATAAATCTTCATAAGTTTTGTACTGTGTAGGCCTTAAAGATACGAAAGTAATGCAATTCTCTGTATCGTACTAATTTTTCGTCGTAATATAAGGCTGCATCACAATGTTAAGAGTAGTGGCTTGAAGGTTTATCCTTGATACGGATGAATGCTTTTTTTCCCATGGCCTCAATTCAATTCGTTTATTATCAGTGAGATTCATTATATTTTATTGAAAAACCAGATTGATTCCTAGGCAGTTGGCCAGTTTGGGTTCCTTAAAAATAAGAGATGTGAGACATAGTATGATTAACGCAGGTTAAGAATAGACTAAAGAAAATTCTACAAAACAAAAGAAAAATATACAATACATCTAACCATCATAGGATCAACACTAATTTTATCAAACCAATAGAATGGTTATGAGGGTAAAGGTGATTTAAAAAAAAAATAAAATGGTAGTGTGTTAGGGGTTGACTAACATTATGTGAACATCGAAGATTAGTAGGCATGTCTTTCCATTAACCATGTTGAATTAACCTGAGACTGGAGTAGAGAAGAAACATCAAAACGTAGAAGGGACAGAAAATAAGACGTCGTCCTGTCTATTTTCTGTCCCTTCTACGTTTTGATGTTACTTCTCTACCCCAGTCTCAGGTTAATTCAACATGGTTAATATTTACCAGCTCGCCTGCACCCTCACGATTTTCTCTGTCTTTCCATGTTTTTGTACCGCAGAATTTTGTATAACGTTCTCTATATGTGTTATGACATGGGAGATTATTAAAATTACCGGATAAATAAGCTCTAAGTAAACGTCCACATTTTATAAGTATCGTTATTGGAAAGGGTTGTGATCGGTTACAATTCTATTGAATATCCTCGAAATTTTGTGTTTTATTGCTCAGAATCAAAGAATGCAAAGTTGCGTAAATAAAGCACTAGATTCTGGCGTGTAATGTGAGTGGGTTATAATTTGAAATGCTATTTTTTGTAAAATAATTATAGGCACGAGCTAACTATCCTAAGTAGTACTCCAAGCATCTGTACAGGATGTAAGATAACTTTGAACTACTGAAAATGAATTATCCTTAGAGTGCGATGGTCGAAACCCTGGCGGCCCTTTAGCATTACGTAAGATGCGCATGTGAAGTTTTGACGGTTGTACGTTATGTGCTGTACAGGTTAAAGGGGTTGTCGAGTATTACTCCCAAATAATTGAATGATTTTACTTGCTCAATAATACAATTATTAAAATATATTTTGCAGTTGCCATAGTTAATGTTTTTTTCATTAGAATCAAATATTATGTACTTTGTCTTTTTTGTATTGAGTGTCACACTGATACAGTTGCTCTATTTTTAACAAGGATCAGATCTTCAATAATTGTACGTCCTATGTTATATAATCACTGATGGGAGTATCAAAGAGCTGTGTAATCAGCGTAAATTATTATTTGTGAGCGGTTAATTACTTTTGAATTGTAATTGATATATAATGATAAAATAGGTCCAAGTACTAATCCTTGTGGGACACGTCTTGTAATTGGTGAAAGAGTGAATTTAAAGTTAGACGAAGAAAAAAGCTGGACACGAGTTGTTAAATATCTTTTGGGCACCCCCAAAATAAAGATTATTATTATTATTATTATTATCTTTTAAACAAGCGAAGCGATAAACCTCTAAAACCATATCGCTCCAGGTTATTAATTATAATAGAGTGATGAACAGTGTCAAACGCTTTTTAATGTGAAAGAGAAGAGTCTGGGTGACGTTACTGTCTTTATGTGAGATATTTATTAATTGGCTGACTGAAATGAGAGAGCTTCATGTAGACACTTTGGGGCGGAAGCCACGCTAGTGTGTTATTATCACTTGATACTTGTCTACGAATGAATTAAAGCGTTTTACTACAAGTATTTCGAATAATGTGTTATTTTCATTTAGTTTCAAAATTGGCCTATAACTTTCAGGATCATTAACATAGTCATTTTCACCTTTAAAAATAGCACACACTTTTGCAATTTTTATCGAATTCGTGCATACTCATTCCAGCTTTTAACGAATGATTGAACATGTGCTGCAATGGAATGCCTACTAGATCTGTGTTTACTTATGAAACTTTAATTGTAATTTTTGTACACCATGCTGAATTACTCACAGGCATTGTAGATATTGCGGATTATATTTTTGTAAGTGGTATTTCTGCGTGGGCTTTATGAAAAGGAAGTATACTGAAATGACTAATCGAAACAAGGACCTCTGCGGTCTAACGAATGGTTATTTCGATGAAAAAAAGAGGTCACAGTCTTTCGATTTTAAAGAAAGACTGGCTGGAATATCACACTAAGAATGCCTTTGACTTATACATACCAAGGTAAATATTCGAGATTTCATTAAAACTGCATACGTTTTACAACATAATGTGAGTTGTAGAACATTATGTTGGGGCTGCAGGCATGGAAACGAACTTGGTTAACCACTGCCAGCTGTGCCGACATAATTGTGTCTATGTCAACAACAACATATTTATTCTCCTTGCTAAATTTGTTGACGGTATAACACCTTAAGAAAAGCACTGGACGCATAGAAAGCTCTCGCAAGGTGGTTCCACGTCAGATTGTATACAATGATGGTGCGGTTCATATTTGTTATAGTTATGCCAAGAATTATATGTGAATGCCAAGTTTCTGGGAAGAGCATTCAGCTATATTTGAACCTTGTAGGCAAATTTTTCTGTAGATATAAAATTCCAAAACTCGAGGCGTGGAGATTGTCAAGTTAGGACCATGGTACTCTGCACAGCCGTGACTTTGACACCGAAGCATGTACGTAGTAGTAATGCTCCCCAATATTTTTCTTAAAGGTTTACAACATGTACAGAAAATACTAAGAATTACAATAAATCATGCATGAAAAGCTACGAAGCGCGTCAAGTAAATACATTGAGGGACTAATTCAGATACTATTTGCAAAAATACTTTACATAAAGTGACACAGAATACATCTAAATGAGCATATTTAAAAGCATATCAAGAATAAATAAAAAAATATGCTCAGCCATATTTTCACTTGTGTTAGTAATTGAGAAAGGTTTCTGATTTCTTTAAAGCTGTCGATATTGCACCTCAATAATTAAAGAAATAGCGCAAGGAAGAGGGAGGGAAGAACGAGAGAGAGGAAAGAGCGCTATCTGTAACTCGTTCTTCCCTCCGTCGTCCTTGCGCTTTTTTTTAATTATGTTTACCCAACTAGCCCATCAGATGATTTTATTGCACCTCAATGTTTAAAAAAATGGAAGACGTTTACAACTCGTTGTAACGCCGAAATTAGAGCGCAGCTCTTGAAGAGGAGGAGGGGGGGGTACGAAGGGGGTGGGTACGCCCCTCCTCCTCATCGTACCCTATCCTCCTCCTCTCCTCACCCTCTCCTTCTCACGTGCTCCTCGCCTCCTCCCCTGCTGCTCCTCCTCCTCCTCCTCCTCTCTTGGGGTATTTTGATTTAGCGATATACCGTGTATAAGTAATATGAGAAATATATATATATATATATATATATATATATAGGGTGTTTTTTTAAGCTAAACAGATTTGTTTAAGAAAAGCCGTGAAAGTTACACTCGTGCCGCTTGTGGAGGTGAACTATACGGCCAGGGGGACATGGTATATGGGTCTAATCGTAACGATCCGCCGGCTAATTAATTAAGATTCGTTAATTAACCTTTGATTTATTGCAAATAGACATATGGTTCCAATTAGAAACTTGCTCAGCGTCATCGAAAACCACTATATCAGCAATTTTCACAAAGACTTTGAGCGCGTGAGAAGCGTAGTAGTGCACAAAAGTTACCCCTCGTGGAGCAGGTACAAAGCTAGCGGTTGCGGTAAGGCGACCGCGTGAGTTTTCCGTCTCTTATCTAGCCCCAGCCTTGTACCTGCTCCACGAGTGGTAACTTTAGTACAATACTACGCTTCCCACGCGCTCAAAGTCTTTCTGAAACTGACTTATTTAGTGATTTTCGATGACGCTGAGCGAGCTTCTAATTGGAACCATATGTCTATTTTTAATAATTAAAAAGTTAATTAACGAACTTTTATTAATTAGTCGACTTATCGTTACGATCAGCCCCCTATAATATGTCCCCCTGGCCGTGTAACTCACTTCCACAAGCGGCATAAGCGTAACTGTCACGGATTTTTTTTAAACAAATTTGTTAAGCTTAAAAAAAACCTGTATATATATATAAATATATATATATATATATATATATAGAGAGAGAGAGAGAGAGAGAGACAAAGAAAATATAGCGTAGGATGCCGAAGACTATAAAGTAATAAAGTCGCACTTCGAAACGTTGTTGGAGTTTTAAAGCATTTAGTGAGTCGACGTTTCGGCCTGAGACAGGCCTTCTTCAAGACTGGTTGCCAGAGTCGGTTACAGGGTTGTTTTCGGTTTCCCCACCCGGGCCACGTCACCTGTCAGATCACGTGTAAAGATGCCCAAGTAAAAGAGCCCAAGGGAAAAAACGCTGCTGTACTCTTTCCGCGGCGTGCGTTGCTGGCCATCTGGGCCGATCCAACTATGTGAACGTTACTGCGCCTTCCGCACGTGACGTTCCTGGGGTCACGAAGTCTGACGTGGCCTTTGGTTTGCTCCGATGGCTGGCGGCGTCTGCTGCGGCCGTGCGTGGAGTGGGGGGGAGTACAGCAGCGTTTTTTCACTTGGGCTCTTTTACTTGGGCATTTTTACACGTGATCTGACAGGTGACGTGGCCCGGGTGGGGAAACCGAAAACAACCCTGTAACCGACTCTGGCAACCAGTCTTGAAGAAGGCCTGTCTCAGGCCGAACGTCGACTC